CATAGGTCCTTAACCAACTCACCTGTGAGTGGGCATTTAGGCTTTTTCCAGAGCTTAGCTTTTCTAAGTTGTGCTGCTACAAATGCGTATTTAAGCACCACTGTAATATGATTACTGTAACACTGTGGGCAATATACGCAGTCGAGGGATAGCTGGATATGGCCACGGGTGGTGGTGCAAGCCTGTTCCTGGGAACCTCAGGTGGGAGGATCACTGTGAGTTTGGGGCTGGGCTGGGCTACCCACTGAGACCCTGTCTCAGAAAAGACAGCTCAACAGGATACTTGCATATAAGAGAATGTTTACTTTTCCTTTATTCTACACTCATTTCCATAGACATTATGGCCACTGCCATTCCCAACAACAGCATGGGGACGCACCTTCTAACTGGGAGTATGAACGGACTGTGGGCTTTGGAGGACGGCTTGAAAGTAAGTGTGATGAAAACTGGTATTTGTTCACATTTTTAAATCATGCACAATATAAGCAATTTTACAGACAAGGAATGTGTACATCACATTTCACTAACAGTATCACATACAACTTGATGTGAAAATGGTCTTTCGGAACCACGTATACGTAACTGAAATGTAGCTCTCGGTGTGTGCATACACTTTGTTGCACATCACTGTGTACTCAATTCCTAAATGCAATTTCACTGAACATGTCTACAAACCTGAGCACGGAACAAAAGTTGTACTTATTTTTTAATTTCAGATAGGGTCTCACTGTGTAGTTCAGGTTGGCTTTGAAGTTACTCTATTGCCAAGGCTGGCCTGGATCTTCAGGCAATTTTCCTGCTTCAGCCTCCAAAGTGCTACGATGACAGGTAGCCGCAGGTATCTAGCTGCTTGGTATTGTTTTTTTTTTTTTTAACATTACATGAAAGATGTCACTTTAGGCACAATATGAAGAACACCTACATTTCAAATACTGGACTCTTTTACATACTCAGTTGGTGAGATTAGAGATATTTAATGTGTATAGGGCGAGTGAGAAAGTTTCTGTGATTAAAGAAGATTGAATATGGCCTTGCTCGTGTAACTTTTAGAGGTTCGATGTTTTGACAAAAAGGATAGCAATACACCTCAGCAGAACAAGTGCCTGCCTGGCAAGCACAATGTCACAGTTTGATTCCCGGTACCAAAAAAAAGATTCTGACAGGAGAGGAACGTTTTTCATTTTTCTCTGAG